GAGGAAGGTGGGGACAGGCATGCTTCGTATCGGAGGTCAAGGGGGAATAAACATTGTCTGGATCTTTTCTTCCGGCTGCAGGTATAGAAGAAAAAGAACAGCCTGACAAATTGGCTGGCTCTGCACAGCTTGGTGGTATACTGATGTATGATAAGGCAGACGTGGTTAAGGCCTAATGGGAGCACGTGTATAACTTTAGAGTGATGCTGCGATGATAAAAAGGGGATCTGGTATTCGAACTGTGCTGGCTGATGAAGATGGGGACAGAGTGCTTATGGAAATGCCCCGAGTCTTGTGATGTCGGTTCTTGAATCAACTCAACTCAGCTCATACAACAGCCTAGGATAAGTGACGGAACAAATAATTTTCAAGTGCGAACACCGGGAACGACGATGACAGGGGAAGCTACTCCTATGTCATGGTTTCCAGACGTCGGGTTTAAACCGCAAAACACGGATCCCTAGATTTAACTTGAAAGCTTGCACATTTCCTCTAGTTGTACAGCTGTGCTTAGTTTAGTGCCATGGATGTGACTGTCAAGGAACTTCAATCTGAGCTAGCAGAAAAGGAGGAGGAAATTCGAAGACTGAAGCAGTTGTTAAATATGAGAGAGGTAAACAAACCTGGCCACACCCACATCACAACCCCACAACTCACAACATCATGCAAAAGTATGACTTTCCGCTGGTACTCTGTCCCACTCCTCTCCTCGCCTAATGTTCTTTACTTTGCTTAACCATGAAAATGGTGAAGCCACCGTTGCCGGTTGCCAGAGTTAAAAATTAAATATAAATTGTTCTTGTCATTGCAGTTTTTGACGTGACTAGGAGCTGTAGTTAAACTGAGCAGGGCTTAGTAGGTAACTCTGCCTGCCGGTTTTAAATTTGGACACTCTTCCGAATACCGGTTCTAAGTTATTCACGGCGAAAAAAAATCCCTTTGAGAGCCTCAAGAGTTAATGTAGTAAAAACAGTTAGGCCATCATGATCAGTTTCCACTTCTGCCATTATTGCTCGATGGATAGCAGTGTTTAGACGATAAGCTAAGCGCCGTGGGGAGGAATAGTGGCTCTCCTCCGAACTTCTACCCCCGCATTATGGCGGCCTGAAATATCCGTTCGGGGCTCAGTTCTATTAAAAATATGCTGGCTCCATATAACGAAACAAATGCTCTAACAGGGTCTCAGCGATATATTACTTGCAGACCTGTTTCTTATTGTTTCTGATTACCTGACAATTCTAAGAGACACAACACTGCAGACGATAGTAGCAGACAATAATAGCGACCGTTGACACTTTCCATTGTCGGACTTTCTGCCGATGAACAAATCACGGCAAATCTAGGATCAGCTCAGAAAAACGAAACAAATGCTCTAACAGGGTCTCAGCGATATGTTACTTGCGGACCTGTTTCTGTGACTATGCCTCACCGCCGACCGTACACCCCGCGCCGCTACGCGCAGCGCGGATAGGGGCTTAACTAGATGGCTGGGACTCACGAGCAGCAGCTATCGCATCTCCTGCAATTTCCTCCAATTGCTTTGCTCGTGAGTCCCAGGCACCTAGTTTAGCCCCCCATTTGCGCCGTGCGTAGCAGTGAGTTTAATCGCGTTTTGCGCATGCCAACAAGTCTGACATCTACCGCTGCTAAATCCTCAATCAGAAGAACAGTATTGCTGATCTGCATCGGAGCGCGTGGTCTACCCGCCATAATGCTTTCATCGTCTGTAATGTCTCGAAATTGTCAACGGTCGCTTTTATTGTCTGCTAGTATCGTCTGCAGGAACGCTCGACATTGTCACCGGTTGCTTTTATCGTCTGCTACTATCGTCTGCAATGTTGTGTCTCTTGAAATTGTCAAGTAATCCTAGTTTTGCCGCGATTTGTTCCTTGGCAGAAAGTCCGCATTTTTCATTGGACTGAGCCCCGAACGGATATTTCAGGCCGCCATAATGCGGGGGTAGAAGTTCAGAGGAGAGCCGGAATAGTTTTTGATCCATTGAAGCGTCGTGGGGAGGAATAGATTTGGATCCATTGTTTTAGTGTCATAGGGAGGATTCGTTTTCTATTCATTAAAGTTTATTTAAAGAGACGTGGGAAGGAATGGTTTTTGATCCATTGTTCACATTACCCGTGACTCCCCTCAAAGGTTTCAAGGCCACATGTTTAAGAGGAAAAAATAAGAATAGACCCACTGCTGCCTAAAAAGCATGTTGTCAAAGGCGACTAATAATTAGAACAAGTGGATGTGTTGGGGCGAAAGGCGCAGATATCGCAGCCTTGCTGTAAACCAGAACACAACGTGCCAACCGCCCTTATAAGGGAAAAAAAACCCATTTATCACCCGGCGGGGAATCGACACCGGTCACCCGCGTGACAGGCGGAATACTTACAACTGTACCACCGAAGACTCGAACATTTGGTTAAAATAAAATTATATAATAACCCGAAGCAAAGTTTGTTGTGTTCTGAATTAAATATATGACTTCTTGAGCCTCCATATGGGATTTTTTTAGCAGTGAATAATTTGGGACGGTATTTGGAAGAGTGCCTAAATTTGAATTTTATAAAAAACTGAGCTCTCAGGTCAAATGTGTCCAAAACTGATTCACGGATGATGATGGGAAGTAGAGGAATGACCCGTGTGATGTTGACCATTGAATGTGGATTAATCTTTCTTACGCCATATGCTGGATGTGGCAATGGTATGGCAGTGTCATTACCACTTCCTCTTCTTCACCCTGGATGTGACAGTGTCACAATAATTCATCACTCTATTACCACTTCCAATTCTTCACCCTCCTTCATCTTGTCTTCACTTTTTTGGGGGATAAAATTTGTGTTTCTTTTATTAATTTTTCTAATTGTAACAATTGGACAATTAGTAAAAAACTTTGGAAGTGGCGGAAATTTAGTCAAATGAAATTTTCTTTACAGATAAAAAAAAAATGGTGATGTCTTGAAAGAAAGTGACTCACAAAGAGAACTGATTGCTACATCAGAAGGAGACAACCTAAATTTTTTTGACATGTCATGAAAAATTTAAATGCATGAACAAAAACCCCATGCACAAAATAGCAAATAACTGAAAACCGACTGAAAAGAGTAAAGCTTTTACCATCTATCAAAATTATACTACACAAAAAACATTGACATCCTTTCTTTTGATGGTTTGATCTGAGCATACGAAACCAAACGCAAAGAAGAAGAAAAAGAAGGTCATGTCATGAGGAGGAAACTGGAATACATGATTATAGAGTGAAGGTTAGAGGGGAAGAGAGGGAGACAGAGAAGAAAGATGGAGAGTTTGACATCACAGCATGGAAGATCATCTGTGTCAGAACTGATAGAAAGTTGTGTATAGTCATGACTACCAATGCTGCACTGCATGGACTATAAAGAGAAGAACTATAACATTTGATGAAAAAAACCAAGTTAATTATAATATGCATGCATATTGTAAGTTATTTAGGATTTAATTTCCACTTATATATGAATATAAACCTATGCAGAACCCCAGTAATCGAGGTCACATTGTCACTTTAATGATTGTGCTTTTCTATTTATACACCATTAACTTGAAGTATTAATTAGAAACAGTTTTTATACATCAACTTTAAAGTGTGTCTGGGCAATTTAGTACGTTGGATGCATTTTTTTGAAAAGGTTATTTAACTTTCAGTACTAAGCAGAGGTCATGTTAGCTACTGTTCTGTTTTAAGCAGTCATTACTTTAACTAATTAATTTTTGGGTTGATATTCTGTATAGAAAGAGGGTGCTAAAATGTTACATAGAACTTGTTTTGCTGTGTGGTAGTGAATCTTGAAATGTCAGTAAACAAATTAAGAAGAATTTGGAAGCAACTGAGATGTGGTTTCTTTGACGAATATTACGAATACCTTGGACAGCCAGAGTAACCAACAACTATGGCTTGAAAAAAGCTGATGAAAGTAGATCTCTATATACAACAATAAGAAAGAGATAAACACTATTCTTTGGCCACATAATGAGAAGAGAAACATGGGAGAACATCGTGACAACTGGAATCAGCGGAAAAAGGGGTAGAGGCAGACCAAGAGAGATGATACTGGATGGGCTAAACAATGGCATGGAGGGATATCATCATGAAAGTTGTTCCAGGCAACCAGGGATCGTGATCTGTGGAGACACATGAGCGCCTATGCCAGTTGGCAGGGCACATGATGATGATGATATCCTGTATTCTCTTCATGTTGCTGTTGATGCATAAGACATTCACAAGTGATCTCCCTTGCTGCTGGTCTGCTGCTTTTCTGTCTATGATATCCCATATCACTTTACACTTTTCCTTTCTACTGTCCTTGCCAAAGTGTCTTGAGGTATTCTGCAGGCATGTCCAAGCTATCTCAATCTTCTTCCTTTGATAACATTTGCTAGTAATGACATTTTTGTGTTCCTCCTCAGTTCTTCATTTGTAATTTGTCTGGCCAAAATATTCACAGGATTCTTTTTAGACATTTATTTTGAACAGTCTCTAATTTATGTGTATTTCCTTCTGTAATTTTTCAACACTAACTGTTTGTTATATAACTTCTTCTTTGCGTTCACCGGCTGTAAACTAGCGGACATTTATGGTTGTTCGTCCACATCTGGACTGCAGTCCTCTTCCAAAACTTGAGTTTTGCATCTGCATATGTTTGACAGATCTGACTAATTTATATGCAGACCATTGGTTCCTTGCCTCTCAGGCAGATGCAGTCTGACTTTGAAGTAAGCTCCCAATTAGTAGACTCTTACAACATGCTTTTTGTTAGGCAATGATTATAACAGGGCCCTGGAACCCACACTGGGCTGTTGTATAACAATATTCCTAAAATGTTACTCTTGAATGATCTGATTTTTTTGGGGGCCCCAAAACTAAGTCCCTTTGACTTCGATATATTGTTAAGCATGGCAGATGCTTAGTTTTCTTTGTTTATTGTTGATGTTACATCCTTTTCACAGTCAGTTTTTTGGGGTCTGGGGAGTTAAAATAAAACTGTCTTATATTTATTATAAAAAAATTATTAGGCCATGATAAATGGCCAATAGATATGAGTAAATGCAATGCAGCAATACATGATTCAGGTGTTGATGGCACCTTTCCATCTTTCCACTTCTTCTTCTTCAGCGATCTCTGGTCATGCGCATAATCCACTGTGGGTCATAAACTGGGATGTCTTTTCAAGGTCTCTTAGGTTTCCCCAAAGCTTAGTTGTCAGTTCTACTGGGTGTTGCCATATGTCGCTCCGCAGCTCCGCCAGGAGAGGACAGTCTTGCAGGACATGTTCTGGAGTCTGTTCAGCACGAAGGCACCGGCAGAGAGCTGTTTGGCTCATACCTAATTTATGTGAGTGTTTATTGAGTCTGCAGCGTCCAGTGCGTAAGCGAAAAACTGTGACTTGGTCTGTTCTGTTCAAATGTTTCAGAAAATTTTTTTCCTAGTTATAACCAGTGTTGGTTTTCCAATCTGTTTCTGATTTTCTCTTAATGAGAGTTTTGACTTCTGGAAAAGATATCTTTCCACTTGATAGTGTTATGTTGAACTGTAGATAAAAATTACTATAGTGAACAGTGACTAAAATTCTGAATGAAATCGGGAAGCAGAATAACGTGCACAAAACACATACATCAATGTTTCGGCTGGGGGCCTTTCTCGTCAGGAACTAACTATACAACAGTAACAAATGAGAGTTGAGCTGAGTCAGAAACTGACGTTGCAGCACTTGGGGTATTTCTATGCATGCTCCGTTCTCATCTTCAGCAGCCAACGCAGAGTTTCAATGCTGATGGTACCAGTCACAATCTGGTTATATGTCCGTCTTGCCTTTCCTCTGAGTGTAGTGAGCCAGCCAGACCCTCTGGTTACACCCAGCTGCCTCATTCTCTCCAGGCCATAATAATCTTGTTTCTATGCTGATTCCGTTGCTTGCTCCCAAAGGGCCTTGACCATATCTGCCTTGTCATGTATCAGTTCACCATCCAGTGATGTAAGATCTTTTTAGTAGAGATCCTGTTTCTAGTCTTGTGATGTGTGCAGTCGGCTGCAAGTTTTATTTTGTGTCCTAAAGGATCATTTTCCATGAATATTTTTAGGTGGTTAAATGGCCAGCTTTTGAATGTTTTACATCTGTCAGGAGTGATTCCTTGAGGAAAAGATGTGAGCATTGCATAGGACACACATTGAATTAACCTGATAATAATATAACTATAATGTCCTTGCACTTGAACCTACAAGGTCAAAGTAATAAAGTCAACCTAGTATCACACAGAGAAGAGAATTAGAGGACATGAAGAAATAGGATGAGATATGGGATGAGCTGCATGGGAACCCGGAGGATCAAAGGAATGAAGGGAGCCTAGAAATTACATGGAGAATGGAATTAGAGTAAGGGGAGAAAAGTTTGAATTAAGAATGGACATTATAGCACTCAGGACACTCCCATAAGCGCTCTGTCCTCATTTTCAGCTACAACTTTTAACTTCATTCTCTAGCTCCCTTCTCCATGGTTTTGTTGTTGCTGGTCTTCCTTTATTTTGATGCCTCTGTGGGTTCCCTTGCAAAGACATTCTAGTTATATTGTTCTCAAGTTTTCTCAACATGTGTCCCATCCAACGCCAGCGTCTTTTCTTCACCTCTTGGTCCACTGGAACTTGTTTAGTTCTCTCCCAGAGTTCCTTGGGTTATTAAACACGCAGTCACTCCACAGTCAACTAGGTATTAAGTCCACTATTCACCATCATCATACACTGTTACTCATTTGTACTCTAATAGGACCAGGAGGAACGGCTGAAAGTTTACATTTCTCCAGAAGTGGATGTCGGAGATAAGACGTATCATGAAAGACTTTCCAATGCAGATATTTCTCGCTATAGCCGTCAGCTGATTCTTCCTGAATTTGGAGTTACAGGTGAGAAGATTCACTGATGATTTATTGCATTTTTGTCTCGTCCTCACCTACCTCCTCCTCTTCCTTCTTCTTTTGCATTTGCCCTTAAAATAGAAGTTTGCATATGGTGTTGTGGCTTACAGCTAGACCGTGACATCTTTGCCTTTCAGCTCACATATTTGGTTACCTTGTGCTCTTTTTCTCATAGTTTGCCACTCAGTTACCAGTATTTGAATGAATGTTCAATAGCAAAGGCACTTTTGTGTAATTTTTATATATTTGCATCATTGTTGATAGCAAGATTGGTGATCATGTCTTTTTTTTTTAAATTCACACTTTTCTATATGGTCAGTGTCAAATTTTTCTCATGTCATTTTTCAAAGTATACTTTTTCTCCAGCTTTTTTTTCATTGTAATTTTTATGTATTTGCATGATTGTTGATAGCGACATTGGTGATCATATCTTTTTTTAAAATTTACACTTTTCTATTTGCTCTGCTGTCAGTGTCAAATTTTTCTCGTGTCATTTTTTTTAAATATACTTTTTCTCCAGCTTTCTAACATTGTAATTTTTATGAATTTGCATCATTGTTGACAGCGACATTGGTGATCATGTCTATCCACAGCATTCTTGCTCATGTACTCTCAGTCATTTCTGCTACAGATGTTTTTCAGTACCATGATGCCAAAACATTCAGACTTGCTTACAAACACATTAACTCTTTTGCTGCATACAAATCTTCTTTTCTTTCTACCTGCCTGTTGTTTTCAGATGAGAAGGCTACATGTAGCCAGGTTAAAAAGTCACACAGACAGCAGTCCTGGAGAAATCCAGTAGCACACACATGCATCAGATGCATAAGGCAGCTGCCAGAGATTCCACCATCTACTGTCTGTCGCTGGAATTGCTATTCATAGTTAGTGGACAGACTAGCAGGCGCAGTTTTGTAGCAACCAGTCACTCACCATTTTCTGAATATGCAGTTTACATTACACATCACTGGGAGCACAGACAATAGACATTGCACATGAAATCCACAGCTCACATTCCCACACCATGCACTCGGTGCAGTAGCTGGCTGAGGGAATTGGATTTAATCTTTACCTCTTTTATTTCCTCATCTACTCCCCCCCCACTCCTCTCCCCCCAAAAAGGCGGGGGGGGGGGGGGGGGAATGGTGTTTGAAACCCCAACCTTCCACTGGATTTCTTGGGAGAATGGGGTCGACCAAGTGAAAGTGAGGCAGGCTTCAGAAAGAGGTTAAGAAGCATTAGGGGGGGGGGGGGGGGGTATGGGGTGTCAGTTATTGGTAGTACCTCTGGTTGAGGAGACTGTCATGTCCTTTTAAGGACAGCTTGATAACCTTTGGTCTAAAACTGACACTCAGCTCTCACCTGTGGCTCCACGCAACTGTCAGCATGCGATAGCGGCCACCCCCCGGGCAACGGCTTTGACAGGCCGGCAAAACCAGGTGAGGGTAGCCGACTCTCCTTTCCATCGGTGAGTTAGGATCTGCCTATCCAAGCATGCAAAGACTACTGTCGGCAGAATGCAAGGAGGAAACTATATTTGGTTCAACAGGCAAGACGGCGACACTAGCAAAGCGCTGTGGAGCGCATAGAGAGCATGGCGAGGCACGTAGAACGCCCTGGCCATCCACTGCACCCAGACATATCTCCAGTCGTCCTGACTCTGTCTGGCCACTGGATCCAGATATGACTTAGGCGAGAGAGTGAGGTCGACGACACTGCGCAATTCTTCCTCACTTTAATCCAAGTCACCGCGCAACTCACTCTTTCATCTTCATCACCACCTCATATATGTTCAAAAAGAAATGCTTTAAGGGCACCTTGAAGTCTTCACTCAAAGCATTTGGGATGAATGACACCAATTGGAAGGCTGCCTCTCAAGACCGAAATGCATGGCGTGCATAAGGGCGCGGCTACATGTGAAGCAAAAAAAGCAGCAAGACTTATTAAGAAAAGGATGGACAGAAAGGCGACTGCAGAAAATCCCCTCCCTGGCCCAACGCTCATTTCCTGTACTCACTGTCCAAGAACATTTTGGGCCCGGATCGGTCTAATCAGACATCTTCGTACTCATACTTGATGAAAAAGAGTGGTCATCATCATTCTTGATGGAAAACACACACACAAGTCTGGGAGGTAAGTTCCCACAGGCAGACATACATAGTATTGCTGTTCTGATCTGGCAGCATGCTTCGTTCCAAACATATTGGTATTACCTGTCCTTTGAAGTAAACAAGGCAGGCAGAATGAGGGATCATGATGCATGAACAATGAATGGTCTCTGCATTACTGCCCTGGCTGTGTATTCTGGAGAGGAGCAACTTCACACTGAACACTCGCCATGGGCTGTGATTCTAATGCCTCCAGATGGCACAATATAACAGTATCATCTGGAAAGATGGAAAGCTGCCAGCATGGCTACTACATATATTTTTGTGTTCACAGGACAGATCAAGTTGAAAAGTTCCTCCGTCCTGGTGGTGGGTGCTGGCGGTCTTGGATGCCCTGCTGCTATCTACCTGGCTGCCGCAGGAGTAGGTCAGTCACTTATCCTTGTATCGACTAAATGTCTTTTTTTTAAATTTTGTGTCTCAGTTTCTGGAAGCTGTCTGTGACTTTGCTTACTCCGCCCCAAATAATTAATTACTTTAACTCGTACTGCCTGAGCAAATGCTTTACTTATTCTTTCCCAAGTAAATTATTTGAACTCATTCTGCCTTGAGCAATTACTTTAACTCATTCAGCCCTGAGTTAATTACTTTTAACTAATTCAGCCCTGAGTCAATCACTTTTAACTCATTCTGCCCTTAGTCGGTCATTTATAACTCATTCTGCCCTGAGTCAATCACTTTTAACTCATTTTGAACTCTTTCTTCCCTGAGTGAATTATTTTAACTCATTCTGCTCTGATTAAATTCTCTGTAACAAATTCTGTCCCAAGTAAATTACTTTGTATCTAATTCTGCCCTGAATAAATTACTTTATTGACTTATTTTTCTCTCAGTAAATTACTTTAACTTATTATATCCTGAGTAATTACTTTAAGTCATTCTGCCATGTTTAAATTACTGTAACTCATTCTGGCCTGAGCAAATTACTTTAACTCATCAGTACTAGACAGCTTACTGTGTATTTTATTTGTTTCTGTGTTGGTTTCTACATAGAGGATATACTGTTCTTGATTTCTTGTACTATAAAATTCTTACACTAAACTTCTTCTTTCTTTTGTCAAAATCTGCTTGTGCCGCTAGGCGTCGCAGTCTATCATGATCGGCAACCAAGCCAGGGCGCGCTCAGTCGCTTCATATGCCATGATGTTATGAAGTCTCAAGTTGTCCGTGACTCCTTCAATCCATATTCTTCTCGGTCTTCCCCTGCCTCTGGTGTTTCGATTTTCATGTTGTATGCTCTTGATGCTGGCATCGTTGGTTCCATTCTCATTAGGTGACCAAACCATTTCATTCTTTGCTTCTCAATAAATTTAACGATGGGTATGGTTCCAATAGTTCTTGTAATCACATCGTTTCTCACTCGATCTCTTCTGGTTTTATTCGCAGCCATTCTCAAACATCTCATTTCACAGGTGGTTAGTCTTCTCTCATGTTCTTTTGTTAATTTACACTAAACTACTTCACCTAATTTGTGACCTGATGTCTTTTTGTCTGATAGCATTATTATTTCAGCTCCTTCAGATTTACATCTGTGTTAGATAAAGTATCAACTTGCTAAGTTAAAACGGTCTAAAGTAAAGCCTGCTTCAGACTGAAAAGGGAATACATGGGTATATATCTATATATATAAAAATCAATGTTTGTGTGTTTGTTTGGTCTCTATAGACTCGGAAACTACTGAACCGATTTAGCTGAAATTTTCAGGATATGTTTGTTGTGATACCGGATTTTGAACCGTCGTGGTTTGAAATTCAACCTGTCACTGTTAGAGATAGGTGACCACAATTTATGCCAAAATATACGCAACTAATATTTATAACTTTAGTGATTTCTAATTATAGCCACGTTAGTAATTGCGCATGCGGCGTATTTACCATTCGCCGGCGAGTTACGTGCAGCCAACGCCTTCTCTAATACTAATACATAGAGTAGGTCGTGGTACCGCAAACAAGACTATCTCTATATTTGCCACAATAACCATATTAAACACGATTTCTATTTTCTGTTTTTTTTTTCAAACAACCTTCGATGGAGGGGGGGGGGGGGGGCAATCAAGGACTATCTCGACGTATGCCCAGACATTGACTGCGTCATTAACTTCATTAGACAGGTGCGATTTCCATTGTCTTTCTTTTCTAAAAACCTTTGATGAGGGAGAGTGTACTAGGTGGATTTAGTTGTGGGGGGGTGGGGGTGGGGTGGGGGATCAAAGACTATCTCAAATTACGCCACAGCAACGCGTGGCCGAGTACAGCTAGTAGATAATAAAAGAGGACAGGGGAGCTTACCAGGCAACTACTTCAAGCATGAACATGGAGTGAGTCGCTACTTCTAGAGCACTATCAGATCAAACAGCCAGTAATTGTATCAGACTTCATGAACATGCTTCAGAAAATAGCAACAGGCGGTGATGTCAGAGGCCAGTCGGCTATGGGAAGGATGATAGTGAATCATCACGTTTGAACGAGTTGACCTTCAGTACAACTCAGTATGAGAGCGGACAGCTTGACCACGCAATAAACTGGGTCCAGTTAACGGGCCAGGTCTAGTTCACTCAGGTTATACGGATTACTACGTGTCAAGCCGCGAACTCAGGCCAGAGATACAAAAAGCTTTGTCCGAGCTGGTTGAAGGGGGAGTCGTGTGCTGGGACAGGACGAGAGAAGACTGAAACATTTTGACTAGGTAACGTTAGGTTTAGTGACGGTTAGTTGTAATAGTATGTGTGTATTTAGTATCGATGATAGGCTGTGTTTCTATTTAATGTTTCGACTAGATAGTATAGAGTTAATGTTCTTTGTGTAGTAGACATTCCATGTAGTATTTGTTTGAGCAGTTAATCAAGGTGTGACGCGCATTGTAATGGCCTTAACACTGCCCGGTCACGCTTAGGTCATACACCTTACGTGTATCGCTGAGTCCCGTTTGGCAATAGACGGCCGATTAATTAGCACCGAGAAACTGTTAGCTAAAAGTCGTGTTCCTGATAGATTCATGGGAACTGGCCTGAGTTGATTAGTGAGTGTAAAACTGTCATCGCCAATGGGGGTTTCGGATGGGAACTGCTTAGCTCATTTGTGTTTAACGTCGTGTTGTTCATTGTTCATTAAAGATTATGTTTGTACTCAGCGGGAGTATTGTCTCAAGTGTGTCTGGGTAGTTAAGTCTGTCAGCTGGCATACCTAGCGAGCCATATAAAATAAGTAGAGTAAATTAGGTCGCTGACAGGTATGCACACTGAATGAGTAGAAAGCATTCAAAAATTGCACTTAATCACCATCGCCTGGATCTTCACACCTGGTCTTGCTGGGGTAAAGGGTAATGAGTGAGCGGACCAACTGGCAAGCAGTGCACCAATGCATGTGGGAAGAAGATTGGACAGCGCAGATATCATCAAGGCTGTACGGACTGGGCTAGTGAATAATGACGAATCTGTGAGACTAACACGACTGCGAGACATTTAAGTAAAGCATGTCTGTGCTGCCTTCAAGGCCAAGCTAGGAAAAATTATAACCAACATCTCATAGGAACAATTAGTAGAAGTACCTTGGAGTGGCTGCTGCATTGGAGGACTGAGCATGCATAGGAATACCCAATGTGCAGCAGCGTTGATTGTGATAATGTAACATAACATTTGGGATCTTAAAAGGGGGAGTCTCACAGCAGGCACTACTGTCCAGTTATGAACTGTTTATCATCATCATATTTCTATAACACAGTGTATCTTTGGGTCACCATTTGCTGACGACTGTCTGATCAGTTCCTTTCATTATGTCGGTTAAATGCACTGGACTTAATGTTAAGATAGGTCAGCAGTTCATCAGTCAGAGCTTGGATTCAGGTATAATCTGATCAAATGCACTGTTTTTGATGTTTTCATAAAATATTTGAGACCTCTTCAGCCATTCACAGCTTGAATTCAGTTTTATCTCGGGCCTGCGTACTGGACTATTTTCAACAGATGGGCTGCGGGTGAAAAAAAAGGTGAAGAACACTATCTTAGGCCAGTGCTTAGTGGGTTAAGCATTTAGTTTGTTTCCTTATAGCTTTTCCTTCCAAGGCAACTTCAATAAAAATCTGAAGATTAGTACCAATTCTTAAGAGGCTAGATTGATTCCACATTCGGTGGTAATGCCATGAGAAGAAGAAAACTTGAGTACATCCTGACTGTGGGATAGTTAGAGGGGAAAGAGGCAGCAAACTTGAGTACATCCTGACTGTGGGATAGTTAGAGGGGAAAGAGGCAGCAAACTTGAGTACATCCTGACTGTGGGATAGTTAGAGGGGAAAGAGGCAGACTGAGAGAGCTGTTGCTGGACAGTTTGACATTATGGCATGGAAGATCATCTGTGTCTGAACTCATTGAAAGTTCACCAGACAGAAGGTTGTGGATAGACATGACTACCAACGACACAAGACATGGACTGTAAGAAGAAGATTGGATTATCCCAAAAATAAACACTTATCAGAAGAATCTCTGCTACCTTTGCTGGGACTTTGCCACATTCCCATAAGAGCTGCATCCTCATCTTCAGCAGCCGATGAAGACTTCTACTCCTGTTAGTGCCAGTAGCAGTTTGTTTATATGTCCGTCTTGCTTTTCCTCTGAGTGTCATCCAGATCTCCTGGTCACTCCCAGCTGTACCATTCTCTCCAGGCCATAATGACCATGCCTCTGCTTTGTTCACTTGCAGCCAAAGGGTCTTGACCCGATCTAGCTTGTCAGCCATACATTCACCACCCAGTGGTGCAGAACCAGCAATTCTGTCTGGGCAGTTTGCATATTGTGTTGTGGTTTACAGCTAGACTGATTTCTGAACCTTTCAGCCCAACAAATTCTTTTTTTTTTTTTTTTCTTAGCAACCCCTTGAGTTTCATCTTAGGACATGCTCGTTAAGCATCTTTTGTTTTTGTCTAGCTCTGCCTGTTTTCACCCCCAACTTTCCAACCATCACACTGTACTCCAGTTTTCTCCTTCTCATGGCATGATGTAAGAATATAGATCAGGACCATTCAACTAAGTTTACTCAATGTTGGAAAACGGAGATCGTCGCCGGCCAAAAGCTGGAAACCCAGCATAGACAGATAACTAATACAGTCCAACTGGCAGGTGATTTTTGGGCCACTTGCGGGCCAGATTTGGCCAGCAGGCTGGCAGTTGAATAGCCCTGATAAATATTGTCTCCTTCTGATAGGAGGCGAAACTTCTGAAGAGTAGGACTCTTCATGAGTCAGTTTCTATCAAGACATCTTCATCACTCTTTTTATCTAAAGCAGTGATTCCCAAACTGTGCGCCCCGGGGAGCAGCGACTTCTTCACAGGGCGCCACAAAATATTTGAAGATATACGTTTCATTATTTTTTAAAACTCTTTTACATACAAATAGCCATACTTTTGTTTTACTTAAATTAGGACAGCGTAGAAAAATTTTAATTGAAAAGAACAGTTTGGGAAACACTATGTTTGTCTATGGCATTCTCATCATTCATCTGTAAAACCACATCCCAGCCGCTTCCAGATAAGTTTTTGTATGCATGAATATTCATGTGAGCGACCATAGTTTGCAGATAAGTGATTTTGTGTCTTCATGTTTGTAACTGTTTTACTGGCCAGGGGGTGTCATGTGCTGATGAAGGTGTTCTTGCTACAACATCCACCATTCATGACTGTGTTAATGTGAAACTGGCTAGCTCTACTTCTACTTTAAGATGATACCTTTTTGTGATAAACTTTTCTCAGGCATAACAAATTGGGCACACAGGCCTGTATTAATTTAGCCCTTCCAGACACCCATATTTCACACATCAGTGTTATTTTATTTTGGTGATTCACACAGCGTGTTATATTCGTGTAGCAAAATACGTAGTATGAGTGTAGAGTAAAAAATACAAAAGCATGGACGGCAGATACATACATTTAAATATATATATACACACACACACACACACACACAAACTTATACAGCCACAGTTCACACATGCATACATATGCACAACTGCATAAACAGTAATTTATATAAACACATTCGTAATTACATACATACATAAACACTCATATGTACATAGATGAAATAGTATTTAGACATATTGTTTTCAAATATGCACTCACATACGCCTCTCACACACACCCACACCTCTCACACACACACACACCCACACCTTTCACACACACCCCCACGCCTCTCATGCACACCCACATCTCTTACACACACACACCCACACCTCTCTTATACACACACCCACACCTCATGCACACCCACATCTCTTACACACACACACCCCCACACCTCTCACACACACCCACACCTCTCTTACACCCACACCCACACCTGCACCTCTTACACCCACACCTCTCACCTACACACACACACACCCACACCTCTCAGACAGACACACCCCACCTCACACCCACACCTCTCTTACACCCACACCTCTCACCTACACACACTCACACCCACACCTCTCAGACAGACACACCCCACCTCACACCCACACCTCTCACACACAGCACAGAACAACACCATTAGGTGGTTTACATCTAATAGATAAATGCACGTGGCATGTGTGTAGCTAAATACAAGCAAACAACAATCAGTAAATCAATCAGTCACTTTGAGGATTAAGGCTTAGAATGATGTATGAATGCAGTAAATCAAACAAGCATGATACAAGATTATAAATAAAGTAGACTATCAGACAAGTGACATGAAATAGACCACATGATCTACACATATTTAGATGTTGCACTAAAATACCCAATATGTATCTTCTTCTTCTTTTTCAGCATTCTTCACCTCAATTCATCTCTCTTTCCAGTTGGTGACACCTAGTGTTTGTAGGTCTGTCTGAATATTATCTTTCCATTGTCGTCCTGGTCTGCCTCGTGGCCTAGAACCATTCATCTCCCTTGTGTATACAGTTTTTACCTCACTGTCATTTGACATTTAGTCAACATGACCAAGCCATTTCAGTCTATTAGCTCTCAAAATGCCAGTTATCAGTAGTGATTTAAACAGAATATGAATTCCATTGTTGCTTCCCACTTTGCATTCTCTGTTTGCATCTTTGATGGGTCCATAGATGAGTCATAAGACTCTCTTTTAAAAATTTGTAATAAGATGTGAAAACAATATTTTTACTTGTTTGACCCAAGCAGGGCACCACCTGTGGTTGGCTGTTCATTGTCATTGTTAAATTGATTATTTTCATTATCATCTTTATCATAATTATCGTCATCACCATTATTATGCTCATCATTATCATCACCATCTTTTTGATCATCTTCTTCATTAAGTGCTTTACAGAATTTTGCTTTAATTAGTATCTGCCAAAAAGACTAAATTTGTCATTAGTTCCCCTACTTCATGCATTTTCTTGTCAGCATGTTGGTCAGTCCCTGCCACATGTACCAGTCGTTTCTGTTACTGTGTCATCAGGTTGGGGAAAAGGGAGCCGGGGCTGTTTGGGTGGCGAGGAAGATAGAATGGAGACTACAGACGAGGAATGACAGCTTAAACAAACTCAGCTCTAATGGTGCAATACAGTTTCACAGTAAATGTCTAATGAGGCATATAATCACTATGACAAATCAGAATTCCATTATTTGTAAAGAAAAGATTAAATTACAGTGCAAGTGACCACAGAAAAGCCAGATTTCGTTAGTGGGATCTGAACTCAGTATGAACAGTAAGAAAGCACTTGATATAGTGGTTAAGATTGGTTGGGATTGGTTAAGATTGGTTGAGATTGTAGGGGAAGAGCCAGTTACACCCCCTGCATTGCTTAGGACTTGAAAAGTCTAAGGTAAAGAACAAACAATAGTTTTTTAGGCTTCAGTCAGGACACTGCTGTCTCGGAGCACACTTACACAGAATAGGCATGAACAAATCAGACACTTGTGATTATGGAGCAGACAGACCTCCAAGACTGTACAGTAGGATTCCCCGTGTGGGTTCTGGGTCTCTTTTGCGGGGGAAACAAGAATAGACCCATTGCCTGCCCAAAAGCATGTTGTAAAAGTTGACTTATTGAGAGCTTCTTTCACAGTCGGTGTGTATTTGCCTGAGAGGCAAGGTACTAACAGTATGAATTTAAATAAGTCAGATCTGTTAAAACAGATGTGTCTGCATAACCCAGCTTCTGGAATAGCCACAGGACCGTAGTCCAGAAGTGGATGAACAGACAGAAAGTTTACAGCCAGTGAACGTGGAGGAGAAGAACTGTAGGACTGTCCTAACTATTCCCAGCAGAAGTTGGCGATCTGGCCCAATGGAACTACATATTGAGACAAGCTGTAGGGGCCAGTGGCGATTTCAGGTGCACTGTCCTGTTCATGTTTCAGATGGGACAGAATGTTTAACACAGCTGATGTTGAACACAGAAGAATCAAGAACTCTTTTTTCTAAACCATTCTTCTTCACTTCCTCTTCTCTGTTGGAGACTTGGCCATGGACAGAGACTTTCAAGCATGCCATAAGAGCGACATTCTGAGAACGGGCCTGCTTATTGTTGGTGTTGACTATCTCTGTAAGATAAAGATTTATTTAAGATTAACTTCCCTTTTCCACGCTCTTAGGCATATCGGGCATATAGATCTTGACCTGTATTTTTATAGACCAATTGGCACTTGGTGGGTGATGGGGTCAGCATTAAGCCGGCCGCCTTTACTTTCCGGGACTGTACCTGGTACCCACTCAAGGCTGGGCCAACCTGGAAGTCAAGGTCATTAAAAAAAAAGTCCAGCTCAGTCAGGGTGCGAACCCACGACCTTCGGAGGCATCTAGCTGACAACACCACAGTAACTCCCTGACTATCTCTTTGCAGCAGTTTTATGTCTTTTTCTATATCTGTTTACCAGGAAAGCTTGGAGTTGTGGACTACGATGAAGTTGAATTGAGCAACCTGCACAGGCAGATCCTTCACACTGTCGATCGTGTGGGTGTGTCAAAATCACTGTCTGTAGCACAGTCATGCTTTAGGTGAGTGTCTGTTGATACTGACTGGATACAAATAATCCGGGTCTGCCTGGACACAAATAGGCCAGATTTATATGAATACAAGCCCCCACCTCCCCCCAAGAGGGATCTGAAATGCTGGAGTTTTTCCCCCTCACTTAATGGGGGGGGGGGGGGGGGGGTATCTTTTCACTACCTGGACCTGATTGCAACTCACAAGTTTTTTTAAAACTAAAAATCTGTTCAAAGAACTTCGCTTCTGCCTTTTTCTCAGGATGTTTCAGCCTTTTCTCAGGATGTTTCAGCGTTTTCCTCAGAATGTTTTAGCCTTTTTATCAAGATGTTTGAGCCTTTTCCTCAGGATGTTTCAGACTTTTCCTCAGGATAATTCAGAAAGGTGACATTGTCTGGTCATTCCAGACAATGTTCTTGTGGCAATTTTGTGTGTGTGTGTGTGCGTGCGTGCACGCGCGCGTGGTGGGGGTGAGTGGGTGGTGGGGAGGGAAGGAGGGAGGGAGAGGGAGGGAGGGGGGAGAGAGAGAGAGAGAAAGGGAGGGAGATAGAGAGAGAGAGACTGAGAGACTTCTCCACAATCATTGACATCTATCCGTTGCTTCTAATTTTGAACTCGTACAAGTTCTAGCACTTGGGTCATATTCCAGATAAAGCTTGTATACCAAGCCAAGTTTTTCAAGTTTAAGCAGGACATATACCAATTTGAATGTTGACTAAAGTAAAAGTAAAGTCGAGAGATGTGAACTAGCTTCATTGGACACGGTTATAAACCATAAGTGCTCTGCCACCAGTACGGACAGCTGATAAGAAACTGTCCGCCGGTGTCGCCGTCCGCACGTAACTCCATAGCTACAGCGACGTTCCTCCAATTACCCCAGAGTGTTAACTCTGGTACCCATTTACTAGAGGCTGGGTAAACCCTGGGAACCGCCTGGTTTTGAACACTGGCGGTGGGCTGCAGCGAGTCGCAGTTTAATTTGAAAGCGAGACTCCTATCGACTGAGCTAATGCGGCCCCCATAAAAAGCATAAACTAAGGCAGCATTGTAATATTTTGCTATTTAAGTAGAAACATTCCTCTGAAAAAAAAAGAAAAAAAAAATCAGTAACACTAGTGACACACTGTTCTGCTTGAGTAGACTGTAGAAAGCCAGGCAAGGTTGAAGATGCTCTGTCAAAGATTGGGAATGTTTATTGCTTTTTAAGTCTCTTTGATATATTGATATGTATAAGTGGATTATAGCTTCTGAGTACACCCCATGTGTAATCCATGTGTTGTTGGATACACCAAGCAGCCATGCGTTTTACTCGTGGATAAAATCTGTAAAATTATGGTTGGTTCTGTGTGATGTACTGCGGTAACTTATAATCCATATGTTATTGATGATGATGATGATTATTGGATCTGTAAGGAAATCAAGGGATAGTAAAACTGCAGTAGTATGTGATAGTCAAGACAGAAATGAAATGTTTACGTACAATGCTAGGTGTAACGATGGAAAGATAGAACTTAGGAGCGATGATGTAAGGAGGAGAATCGGCACAGGACCAATACCGAACTTTATGGGTAGACAATAAATCAAATGGTTTGGCCATGTAACAAGATTGGCAGCAGACAGGGCACCACAGAGAGCAATGTTATACAGATACAGTGGTAACAGAGCCAGAGGTCGACCACGCAGAACATGGACCGCAGAAATATCAGAGACACTGAAAATTCCTATATAGAAGCAAAAAAAAAGGGCCTGTTCTAGAGATCTCTTTCTGCCCTGTGGCCGCGAGTCTTTCCTGAGGTAGAGAAAAGAAGAAGAAGAAGTAAAACTGTAACATTCCAGATGATAGTGTTGGGATCAAGTTCCTCCTCTCCCTAACACAAAGCCTGTGCAGTATTATAAAGACCAAATATAGAGAGAGACGGAGACTCCCACATGTATATATGTAATGTGTGTGTGTGAGTACATGGTTGTTGCAAATTTGTATGTATGTGTGTGTGTGAGTACATGGTTGTTGCAAATTTGTATGTATGTGTGTGTGTGAGTACATGGTTGTTGCAAATTTGTATGTATGGGTGTGTGTGTGAGTACGTGGTTGTTGCAAATTTGTATGTATGTGTGTGTGAGTACATGGTTGTTGCAAATTTGTGTGTATGTGTGTGTGTGTGAGTACATGGTTGTTGCAAATTTGTATGTATGTGTGTGTGTGTGAGTACATGGTTGTTGCAAATTTGTATGTGTGTGTGTGTGTGTGAGTACATGATTGTTGCAAATTTGTATCTATGTGTGTGTGTGTGTGAGTACATGGTTGTTGCAAATTTGTATGTATGTGTGTGTGTGTATGTGAGTACCATGCCCATGCATCATGATCCCTCTCTCTTGACCTGCCCTGTTTACTCCAAAGGAACGGTAACACCAATACTCTGAAGAGCAGAAGAGCAGTTCCCTGTGTGGGTTCCGGGGCCCCAATATGGGGAAAACAAGAATAGACCCACTGCCTCCCCAGCAAGCATGCTGTTAGAGTTAACTAATTGGGGGGTTTCCTTCGAAGTGGGAGTGCATCTAGCTGAGAGGCAAGGAACCAACAGTCCTGCAACAAATAAATCAGATCTGTAAAATAGATGTATGCACGCAGTACTCAGTTTCTGAAGCAAGTCTACAGTCCAGAGGTGGATGAACAACCTGAACTTTCTGTGAGAGTTTTTGACCAGTGACCAGAAGAAGAAGAGCAGTGTGTCAGTAGAAATAACACAACACATCAGCAACTTTTGTCATCGTTGTATAGAAAAGGACATAAAGATAACAAGAAATAGCAACAGATATGTGTGTAAAGAATAAAAAAAAGCAACAGGTGAGCAACGTTTGTCATCGTTGTCTAGAAAAGGACATAAAGTTGCCAAGAAACAGCAACATATATGTATATCAAGGCTAGAACACAACATCTCAGCAACTTTTGTCATCCACTGTTATTTTCACCATCAGTCACTTAGTATATTATCTCTGTCTTTCCCTTACTCTTAATCTTCTTCACGCTCATTCAGTCATCTTTTTATTTTCTCTATCCATCTTCTGTTTTTGTCTACAATCTTTCTTCAGCTACTTTGCTGCATGTATGTCCTTTCAACCTCCTCTCTAGCTGCTGTTAGCTTCTCTGTTCTCTTTCCTAGGTTCTTGACACTCAGCTTACTTCTGTCTCCTACCTGCACTACCTCTTCATTCCATCCCTCAGCCTTACATATCCGTTTGTTTGTTTGCAGGCTAAATCCCAGTGTCCTGTATATACCATACCAGCTACAGTTAAACAGCACAAATGCACTAGACATAATTAAGAGGTGAGTACCAGGTCATTTTGTTATAACTCATTATGTAGTTTTCACATACATTTATATTTGTCAGTGTATGTATACAAGGTATCGCATAAGTTTCCATACATAGAAAAACAAACGTTTATGAAAACTGAGAGAGACTATGGCTTAGGCATTGCAAACACGCTTAATAGTGGCGGGGGTTGTCGGGTTCAATCCCAGCTGCCTGCTCTTCCAAATACCTCATTGTTTGTAATCTTGCCATCTAATGCCAATTGTTCTATGTTAGTCGCATATCCTTTTACAGGACGTTGCAAAACCGACCCTAGTTTTTTGGGGCTGTTGTTGTGGTTTTTCTGGGCACCTGCTAAGAGTGTCGCACAAAGCACACACTCTGTAGCTCTGGTGTTGATCCCCAGGAATCTCCATAACAATTGCACTGTGAACTGAACGAAGCAACCATAAAATGAACCTACAACCTGCGAGCATACGGCAAAACAGCTTCTTGACCACTTAGCCACGGAGACTCCCAGATGTATATATGTGTGTGTGTGAGTACATGCTTGTTGCAAATTTGTATGAATGTGTGTGTGTGGGTACATAGTTGTTGCAAATTTGTATGTATATCTGTGTTTAAATATGTTGTTATGCCCATAGTAATGCACTGTTGATATTTTCAGTTACGATGTGGTTGTTGATGCCACGGACAATGTAGCAACTCGTTATCTCTTGAATGATGCGTGTGTTCTGGCCAACAAACCTCTCGTTTCAGGAAGTGCCCTCAGATTTGAAGGGCAGGTAAGCAGTTGCGTTGTTTATTTTGTTAGCTTACCGTGTGAGGTATTTGTTGATGGAATTGCCAGGTTTTGTGACTGGCCTAGCAAGATGGGAGGGGATTATTTGACTTGATTAAAAAACAAAACAAAAACAGAACAAACAAATGAACAAATTTAATTTTTTTAGAGGGTTAAGAATTAGACTAACAAATGAAGTGGTTTGGACACCTCACAAGAAGGCCCTGGTACTGTCTGCCACAGCAAGCCACACTAAAACGTTACAACGGGAAAAAGTGAGTGGAAGACCTAGAAAAATATGTAGTGATGGCATTAAAAACAGCCTTACAGAAATGAACATCAGTCTTAATAATGCTCTTGACAGCTCATCAACGAACGTTACATCCCCCCTCCCCCCGACACTTCCCTGAGGTACAAGGTGGAAGAGAAGAAGAAGAAGAAGAACTGAACATGTAGGCCTGTCTAACATTCTGCCCTTCCAGTCGACTCCTTGCAAACATTTATTCATTCGTACATCATTTCATAGTTAATAATAAAAAGCCAGAAATTAAGGTTAGTAGCAGCTCTACATTTCATTAGATTAAAAGTGAAATGGTTTTGCCATTTAACTCGGCTTCGAGCAGACAGTAGACCAGAACTAGTACTGATGTAGACCCAGTGGGTATCGAAAAGAGAGGCTGACCTTGCAAACACTAGACAAAGGGAATGACATAATTTCTGACCTTCCCATTAACTGTGCACATAAAAGGATACTGTCCTGCAGTTTATTATTCTTTACCTCAACACTACAGACTGCAAGAGGGTCAGGCATTGAACTGAAATTTTGCATTTATAAAACATTGTTTTCTTAAGATTCAGGGAATTATTAGCCTAAAAACACCTGGAGACATACCAGGAGGAGATTGGAGCACCTGTGTTCATGTCTGATGTGTGATCTTTCAGTTCTTCTTCTTCTTCTGCGTTCGACATCAGTCATGCTAAACATTGAGTCCCGTCTGGGTCACAAATAGGATTGTGCGTTTAAGGTCGCTACCAGTCCCCAATAGCTTCTCTTTCAATGTGGCTCCCTTGGGCCAGATCCACGGTCTTTGCTAGGAGAGGTAAGGGCAGGACTGTAGTATGTGCTCAGGGGTCTGTCTTTCTGCTCCACAATCACAGGCATCAGATTCTTTTATGCCTATCCTGTACAGATGTGCTCTCTTTCAGTGAACAATGAACATAATGAGTGCCCTGCTTATTTTCAGAGTAGTGTTTTGTACTCTTGCAGATTTCTGCTATTATTTCAGTTGACGACCTACAACTGTAACCATGGTCCATGCTACCGCTGTCTCTTCCCCAGCCCCCGCCACCAGAAACTGTTACCAACTGCTCAGAAGGTGGTGTCTTAGGTGTAGGTGAGCCAGGTTTGATTCCGCTGTTTATATAAATATTTGACAGTGTTGTAGATTATTCTTATTACTGATTCAGGTCCTCGTCGTGAGAGGTGGTAACAGGACAATGTAGGGGATTGCTAGGTGTGGGCGAAGTATGGTGTGGCCTCGTGCCACGGGACCGCTACGGTAGCCATGAAGGCCACCCTGGGTCACCCCGAAACATCCTAGCCAACGGGGCTCTGGTGAAGTTGCGACAGGCCTAGCAAGCCGGCAATGGATTTATTACCACTACAGAAATCAAAATGAGATATAAACGGACTGATCAAACGGTATCTGACCATGGCAATGTTAAGGGACTAAGAACAGCGAAATCCCTTGACACCCACAGCGGTAAAAGAGGAAGTGAAGAAGAAGACTGATTCAGGTCATCTTATTATAGTTGTGAGTCCTGGACTATCTCTCAGTCCTTAAGAAAGAAAAATGGGCTTTTGAGCTGACATGCTAAAGAAGGACTCATAATACCATGGACACAAAAAAAAAGAGAAGAAATACTGTCAATTTTAAAAGATCTTAGCATCAAAGAAGATTGGCTAATAAACAGCATCTTGACTTAAAAGCTAAAATACTTTGGTCATATCAAACGCCATGGTAGACTCAGGAAAAATAACAGCGGAAGGCAAGGTACCAGGAAGGAGGGGCAGGGCCCGAGCAGCATGAAGATGGACACAAGATATAAGTGACCACTTGAATAGGAAAGTGCAATGAGACGAGAGAGCTGGCGAGAGACGGAGTTTCTTTCAGGCAGGCCGCGATGAGAGCGACGTTCTGCAAAGGACAGGCTTTTTGATGAGGTCCCTGTGTAGGCTCCGAGGTACCATTTTTGTGGGGAAAAGGGTGGGGTGGGGGGTGGGGGGTGGGGGGGGGGTAGGATAGGCCCACTGCCTGCATAACAAGCATGTTGTGTCTGTTTAAGGATTTGCTGAACTTCAGTATGTTGGGCTGAGAGCCACCGATTGCACCAGACAGAAATTGTAATTACTGAGTAATAAAACCTAATGATAGATATATTGTTATGGTAGATTCATTGTTTTGGGAGATTCGTTGCTACAATAGATTCATTGTTATGGTAGATTCGTTGCTACAATAGATTCATTGTTATGGTAGATTCGTTGCTACAATAGATTCATTGTTACAATAGATTCATTGTTATGATAGATTCATTATTACAATAGATTCATTGTTATGATAGATTCATTGTTATGATAGATTCATTGTTACAATAGATTCATTGTTACAATAGATTCATTGTTACAATAGATAAATTGTTATGGTAGATTCATTGTTACGATATATTCATTGTTACAGTAGATTCAATGTTATAATAGATTCATTGTAATAAAAGATTCATTGTTATAATAGATTCATTGTTATGATAGATTCATTGTTATGATAGATGTATAGTTACTATAGATTCATTGTTACGATAAATTTTTTGTTATAATAGATTCCTTGTTATAATAGATTCACTGTTATAATAGATACTTTGTTATAATAGATTCCTTGTTATAATAGATTAACTTTTATAATAGATACTTTGTAATAATAGATTCCTTGTTAAAATTGATTACTTTTTATAAATGAATAACTCCCTGTATGAATTCTGGACCTCATGATGGGGGGGGGGGGAATAAACACAATACACCTACCAAGTATGTGTTTCTTTTAAAGTCGAAGGGCATCTGCTTGAGAGGCGAGGAACCAACAGTCTGCATACAAATAAACCAGATCTGTAAAATGGATGTGCAAGCAAAACTCAAGATACAGTAATTAGTCTAGAAGTGGACAAACATCCAGACTCTGCAGTGAAAGTTTACAGCTAATCAGATAAGAAAAAGAGGATAAATTAATAACAATAACATAATGTTTTGTTTTGTGTATCTTTTGTTACAGTTCCTGGTATTATTGGTTCATTGCAAGCTTTAGAAGCCATTAAAATTGCTTCGGGAATGGAACGTATCCTTTTTGTTTTTTTTAAAGTCTTAGAAGATGCCTAAAGTCTGACATTTTAAGGATGTTTATTGAATTTAGTTGAGTGTATTCTGACCCATAAGTGTTCTGTCCCCATCTTCAGCAGCCAGCGCAGAGTTGCACAGAGTTCCAATACTAATGGTGCTAGTAGCATTCTGATTAAACGTCCGTCTTGCTTTTCCTCTGAGCGTTAAGCACTACCCGCTGCATCACTTCACCAGACTGTGGTGATCCATTTTCTCCTCCAAACTGTTCATGCTCTCCCACATGGCCCTAACCACTTCTGCCTTATGCTTCAGTATTCCTCCAGGTTGTGCAGAGCCAGCCAATCTGTTTGCCTGTTTATTTTCCAACACACTGTCATATCCCGGAGAAAAGATCCAGACAGTACTCCTCACCCGTAACCTCCGCAGCGAAGCATGCCACTCTGCATGAAAAATGCCTGTTCTGACCTTCCTCAGCATGTTCCTGAGTCTGTTACAATCACGATATGTGTGTGTTGTGTTCTCTAATTAGCGGAAAGCTGCAGTGACTGCCTCCACTTCCATTCTTAAGCTGGATGTTGTCGTATCATATGCTATGCATTTCTGCACCAAACGTCAACCATTAACTGGGATGTTTATGAAAATCAGCATCATAGTCATCTGCCATCATTTTCACAGTCAGAGATCAGTATTCACTTACCTGTTCTCTGCTTGTGGCAATGGGTTTATTTTTATGAACACAGAAAGTAGGTGTCCTAGCCTAGCTTTGTCTTCAGTTCTGAATCATGACTACCACCTGAACCTGTGTGCAGGAGATGCATATTTATTCAGAAACATATCTCATTAATTCAAACTGTTTCAGCAGCAACATAAAATAAAGACGGAACAATTCCTGAAGTATACCTGTCAGACAGGACTATAAACACCTGAGCACATTCTGCAGACCTGCCCACTCTACCTACAACTTCGAAATGACACCTGGGCTCAAGAACAAAGTATGCGGAGCAAGCTATGGGGAACCATGAAGGACCTGCTGCTGACATGTGAGTTCAAAGAGGCAACCCACCTGATGGTCAGATCTAAGCATACGAAACCAAATACAAAGAAGAAGAAGAATGTGTGTGTATGAGATAAATATTTATCCTCATGAACATATCTCATTAATTCAACTGTCTCAGCAGTAGCTACTTTTTCCATAACATGGAGGAATGGTGTCTGTTTGCATAACGTGCTGTGCTTCATTGATAGCATTTATGTGTTTGCCATAATAACATCAGTAAAATAAAAATAAAAAAACCATCATATATAAAAATGATTTATTGCAACCAAAAGTTAACCACACCATTTACATTATTTTTCAACATAGTCACTACTGACTTCAACACATTGTTGGTATCATGGCACCGGGTTCTTAATTCCAAAGTCATAGCATTCTGCCGCAAGCGTCTTGAACCATTCATAAACACCTGTCTGCAATTAGTTCATTATCAGTTTCAAACCGCTGTGATGCCAGTGACTTCTTCAGGTGCATGAAAAGGTGGTAATCACTTAGTGCCAGATTGGGGCTGTAGGGCGGGTGGTCATCAAATTTCCAGTGAAATGTTTGCAACAGTTAAACAGTTCCATCTGCGATATGAGGCTGGGCATTATCGTTCAGAAGCACAGTCTCAGAGAACAGCAAGCCACATGGATAGCACACCATTTTTTCTATGCAAGGTTTCTTGTCACAGTGTCGTAATCAGTGAACGTGAAACTTCCTAACATTCGACAGACAACACAGATACTGTGAAACAACAGTTTTCCTGAATTTTTTGGTTTACTTCTTCAACCAAATTGTCTGTCAGCCCACTTGGCCAACCACTATTATCTTCATCATGGATATTAGTTCGCCCTTCTATAAACATTCGACACCATTTCCTAACCATACTATCAGTTCATAACATCTAGCCCATCAACCTCAATGAGTTGCCTGTGAATTTCTGCAGCACTGTTTTTTTTTTTTCTGACACAAAGGATCACAGCACGAACCTGGCAGAAGTATTTTGTTTTTTGGGCACTCATTATAAATCACTCACAGGCAGCATCAAACAAGATTTAGACAGTGAAAAAAATCGCACAGCTAGGTATTGAACCATTATAAACATACTGCATATGCGCGTTTACGTTTTCTATTGGTCGTGTGTGTCGCTGTGGGCCAAACTGAGACTTACTTTGAAAAACGTGCCATGTGTGTGTATGTATGTATATATTTACTGATTTTTAGTTGTAAAAGAGCAATAAATCCAGTGCCCTTCTTATGAAAAACGTCAAGATCAGTGACAGCAGCAGGAATTGATTCTTTAACCTGTCTTGCCAGCATCGTTTTGCCAGAGATTACTTCTCTTTGATGGTCTGGATGGAACTTTCCGCAATATCAAGCTGCGATCTAGGTCCAAATCATGCAGTGTGTGTGGAGAGAAGCCTACCATCTTGAAACTGATCGACTACGAGCAGTTCTGTGGTGCAGGGGCAACTGACAAGGTAAAGATTTGAACATTTTAATTTTGTTGTATTCTTATCTTCTTATTCATATCTTATTACTAAACATGGAAATGCGATGTATGAGAAGGGCTGTAGGAGTAACCAGAAGAGATAAAATCAGGAATGAGGTAATAAAAGAAAAAGTGCGTAAAATTAGTTCTGAATTACATACAACGAAGTACCATGGTCCCTAGACGAACCGATCCAAACACCGAACTGGACACCAAAACTTGGCAGAAAATACGGCAAGTGGCAAAACCACAGAAAATAACACCAGAAACAATGACACCAGCACCATCCCACCTGAAACTCAATGCACAAGCAGCTCCAGACAGCCAAGACAGAAAAGACCCACCAAAGCAGCACCAGATCCACCCATAACCTGATGCAGTGCCACCCCAGGCACCAAATTGCCAGTCCTTTTTAGGGCAAGCAGTCATCCCCTCCTTGAACGCAACAACCGGCCAAACAAACCCACCATAACCTGCCGTGACAGCGGAGCAGCCAAGCCTAGAAACCGGAACGCAGTGCAAGAACGGCCAGATTCCAGAGAAACCCAATGAGAAGACGCCATTACAAACAACCAGCGATAGGAAACTGGCAAACACAAAGGATAACCTGATTTGATGACAGCCCGACCAGTAACCACAAATACAGCGGACAATGAAGAGAGCAGCAATGTTTTCTAACCCTTAGCTCAAAGTGGTCACGGCAAATATTGAACATATAACGACAGATCAAATGGTTTAGACACTTGGAGAGAAGGCATTGTGACACTGTGCCATACAAGTTAAAAAAAAAAGAAAAAAGTAAAGGACCCTTTTCCACGCCTTTATGCGTATAGGGCATATATGGCTAGACCTATATTTTTCTTAAACCTGAAACCGTCCCTTTGGTGCACCTTTCTACGGCAGTCCTTTATTAGAGCCAACTTTCTGTCACAGCAAGCACTGTGTCTGATCTGACTGAGCCATTTGAATTTACTGTCCCCTTCTTGGAGCTGGTCATGCCAACTTTGTGTGCATAGGGAATTCCCTGTGTCATTGTCTTACATATGTGTGGTCATTCTGCGTGATTCTTTCCTTGTCTCTCTCCCTCTCCCGATATATATAAAAATGTAGTCATGTGTGCTGCACCAGCAAGCAAGCGGGTGGCAGGTAATGAGTGTATGTATATGTCTGTGCCTGTGTGTGTGTGTGTGTTTTTTAAAACTACTGCACGTTTGAGTATGCGTGCTGAATTTTAGTAATACAGTGAGATAGTATTTTGGCTACGGGACACCAGTAGCACACATATATCTTCGTGTAGGGAGTCGGCAGTCCGAAACCCAAGTTCAAGGTGTCTCCTTCGTGCCAAAGAACTGCATGGCTGTTGGGTGAACAGTCGTTAACGAAGGCAGTCAGGTCGTTGTTGGGGCGATGCTTGCTGGTGGATGTAATGTCCTAAATCCCTTCCCCAGCTAATAGTAGAGTTCTGCTGGGGTGACAATTTATTAACCCTCACATAATGCTTCAGGTCCAAATGAACACTAGGCACTGCCACTGTTTTGCTTCTGCCAGACTGTGGCCGTTGCTTTTTTGCTCAAGTTGTAGACTGGAAGTATATAGTTTCGTTACCCAGCTTCTGAGTTGAGTGCATGGCATGAGACTGAGCTGCGGATTTCATTAGGAATGTTTTTCGACTGACCAACGTGGTGGTGTGATTTGTAGATTCAGAAAATGGCGCGATGCCGGTTGTCGCAATATTGGTGAGGCCATTATTTGATTAAAATTGATCGCGTGTGCAACTGCTGATCTTTTGGTGACTTCTGCTACCATCAATGATGAACTGCATTTCTAACGTCAGACTGTTTGTATTAGCACTTTGGATGGCTACCATATGCTTTTAATGCGAGTGTATGCTAGATTTGCTGACACAGCAGTTTGTCTTTCCACAAGGAACTGTGATAAACATTCTGTGTGTTTTTTGTTGGCACAGGAGCGGAGCAAAGATGGGGTGACCCGATTGCTATGAAGCTGAAATTAAAATTACCAGATTACCAGATTTCGCAAATTTTTATAGACCAACTGGCACAAGATGGGTGATGCGGTCAGCATCACACAGGCCGCCTCTACTTCTCGGGAGTGCCATACAAGGCATTCCCACTAAAATAGGAGAAGGGTGTAGAACACGAGGAAGACCAAGAACACAATGGAAAGATAACATCAGAGAAACTCTACAACAGCACAATGTGTCTATGGTCGAAGCAGCCAGAAGATCAAGAAACAGAACCTTATATCTCCCTTAACAACTAAAGAAGTAAAAGAGGAAATGAAGAAGAAGAAGAATCTTTTAGGCTTTATTACAGATGTGTAGAAGAAGTGGCTTTATCACAGATGTATAGAAGAAGTGGCTTTATTACAGATGTGTAGAAGAAGTGGCTTAATTACAGATGTGTAGAAGAAGTGGCTTTATTACAGATGGGTAGAAGAAGTGGCTTTTTCACAGATGGGTAGAAGAAGTGGCTTTATTACAGATGTGTAGAAGAAGTGGCTTAATTACAGATGTGTAGAAGAAGTGGCTTTTTCACAGATGTATAGAAGAAGTGGCTTTATTACAGATGTGTAGAAGAAGTGGCTTAATTACAGATGTGTAGAAGAAGTGGCTTTATTACAGATGTGTAGAAGAAGTGGCTTTATTACAGATGTGTAGAAAAAGTGGCTTTATTACAGATGGGTAGAAGTGGCTTAATTATAGATGGGTAGAAGAAGTGATTTCATTACAGATGGGTAGAAGAAGTGGCTTCATTACAGATGGCTAGAAGTGGCTTAATTAAAGATGGGTAGAAGAAGTGGCTTTATTACAGATGGGTAGAAGTGGCTTAATTACAGATGGGTAGAAGAAGTTGCTTCATTACAGATGGCTAGAAGTGGCTTAATTAAAGATGGGTAGAAGAAGTGGCTTTATTACAGATGGGTAGAAGAAGTGGCTTAATTACAGATGGGTAGAAGAAGTGGCTTTATTACAGATGGGTAGAAGAAGTGGCTTTATTACAGATAGGTAGAAGAAGTGGCTTAATTACAGATGGGTAGAAGAAGTGGCTTCATTACAGATGGCTAGAAGTGACTTAATTAAAGATGGGTAGAAAAAGTGGCTTTATTACAGATGGGTAGAAGAAGTGGCCTAATGACAGATGGGTAGAAGAAGTGGCTTCATTACAGATGGCTAGAAGTGGCTTAATTAAAGATGGGTAAAAGAAGTGGCTTTATTACAGATGGGTAGAAGAAGTGGCTTCATTAATTATGCTGATATTATTAATGCCCTATGAAAAAAGGAAAGGGTGGAGGTCTTTGGGGGGCAGTGAATCCACATCACTTGCCAGAAGATAGTCTTGGGAGTTTAGATCGGCATAGCAAAAAATGAGACCCACACATCAGGCACATCAGAGGACTTGTTTATCAACATTATACTGGTACTGTTAGCCACCGGGTGCTGGGGTTCATACTGAGGGGAGAATCTGAGCACCTATGGACATGTCCGGAGTGTAATGATAACCTAACTTACTAACTCAAGGCAAGAGCAAGGCGGCCTTACAATTAGACTATTACTGGTACTATCAGAACCGGAACTCTGCACTGACTGCTGAAGATAAGGACAGAGTACTTAAGGGGAATGTTCCGGGGGCTGTGATGTTGGTTCTTCACTCAGCCCAACTCCTCCCATGGAGACTTCGACTGAGATAACTTACGTACAAGAAACTAAAGAAGAAACTTGAGGATCAATCAGTTTTAAATGCGAAAAATAAATCCTGGGTAGCTGCTTATTTTGACACAAACTCTTGACCTCACTTGATCCTGGGATTAAGTTACCGGGCTCCTTAGTGAAAGCAGAGAAAGCAGACGGCAAAACTCTTGACTTGTCAGCTTTCAAAAAGGGATGAGATTAAACTGATTTATTTATTCTATACGTGTGCAAGCTGGTGCAGTGATCACCATATTTGTAAAATTGTAATAATTGCAACAACAACAAAAAAACAACTTCTTATGTTTGTGTTAACTTGTAAACATATGATCGGCCTTAGGTTATAATGTATATTCTTGTTTGTTTCTATAACTGCTTCTTATACATGTGGTGAATTGTGTATGCTCCCATAAAATGGTAGGGAAGCTTTTGTGTTCACATGTCTACTTTGTAAAGTGATAGGGAAGTTTGTGTGTTCACCTGTCTCCTTTGAAAAGTGATAGGGAAGTTTGTGTGTTCACCTGTCTCCTTTGTAAAGTGATCGGGAAGTTTGTGTGTTCACCTGTCTCCTTTGTAAAGTGATCGGGAAGTTTGTGTGTTCACCTGTCTCCTTTGTAAAGTGATAGGGAAGTTTGTGTGTTCACATGTCCCTATCATATAGTGATAGGGAAGTTTGTGTGTTCACATGTCCCTATCATATAGTGATAAGGAAGTTTGTGTGTTCACCTGACTCCTTTGTAAAGTGATAGGGAAGTTTGTGTGTTCACCTGACTCCTTTGTAAAGTGATAGGGAAGTTTGTGTGTTCACATGTCCCTATCATATAGTGATAGGGAAGTTTGTGTGTTCACATGTCCCTATCATATAGTGATAGGGAAGTTTGTGTGTTCACATGTCCCTATCATATAGTGATAGGGAAGTTTGTATGTTCACGTTTCCCTATCGTGCAGTGGTAGAGAAATTTGTGTGTTCTCATGTCCCCACTGTATAGCGATAGGACAGTTTATTATGTCCCCATCATATAGTGATAGGACAGTTTATTATGTCCCCATCATATAGCGATAGGACAGTTTATTATGTCCCCATCATATAGCGATAGGACAGTTTATTATGTCCCCATCATATAGCGATAGGACAGTTTATTATGTCCCCATCATATAGTGATAGGACAGTTTATTATGTCCCCATCATATAGCGATAGGACAGTTTATTATGTCCCCATCATATAGTGATAGGACAGTTTATTATGTCCCCATTATATAGCGATAGGACAGTTTATTAT